TTAAAATTACGGATTGTAACAATCATACTGCAGAAATGTTTGTAATTTTAACACTGTAATATTTTACGCTTGAACAGAAAATATGCGAACCTGCCAAATGATTGCAGAACTTATTTCACGTTCCCGTTTCTTACTAAATATTATAAAAGAAATATTATTATAGTTTATAGGAAAAATAGTGTTATTTCGAGTCGTGTGGGCATCCGCAGGCAGCGTGCCGAAAAATAATAATAATACCTTTTCAAACAACGAAGAAGAAATTCTACCGAACGACGGCCTAAAAACCCGAAAAACCCACTTGTTTCAAGGAATGGCCTCGAAAGTCTATCTCTTTTGATAATACCTTTTCAGTCAATACTTTTTCAAAGACTATTAATGCACTATTATAATCATTCCTTACCTTCTAACATACGGAAGATAAGATTATTTGAGTTTATCTTGAAAGCGTAAATTACTTAGAGTATTTTCTTATGTTCATTTAACAAAACTATGTATAATAAGTTTTATAGAAAGGAACACAACCAAAATTTGCGAGTTAACAGTCGGATTAACCATTGAAATTACCATATCAGCAATACTGGTCTTCGGATTATATTAAAATTTTCATCGGTATCTTGTTTGTCGTAATTTTTTATTTACTTGAGTCTCTCAAAGTAGCTGCGGAAAGCACGGGAGCCAATGTCGGCGGGCCTTTTATACCCTATATTTCCTAACATTAACTTGGTTTGAAAACCATAGCGTGAGCACGTGGAAGTAATTCAAGTGCCATATTCACACCAAACAGTATTACTTATGTAAAAGCCATGAAAATCATGCCTCGGTTTCTCTACTTCATATTGAGGTTCGCTGTGAAATTGAGTAGATATTTTACGATAGACGTATAGCACGTGTACGAAGTCACGACTTTATATCATGTTTCACTTCTATTATCAAATTTGATTACTCGTTGTTCTCACTTTTTTTAAGAAATTGATATAAAATTAATCTAAGTTACTTATTGACTTAGCGATTCAAGTTGTACATGAAAATCGCTTATAATTGAGTACATTTACTTTTGTAATCAAATGTATACGCCTTTTGCCTAAGGCTGAAAATGTATATCAGTTCTAATTAGTTAGCGCCAACAAAGTTCTGGAAGTCAATCACTGGTTGCGTTAAACTTTGTTAAACAGGTTTCTGCAGTTTCCTGAATTAAACTGATGTAGGTGAAAATTTTGTAAGAAATATCGTTTGGCTGTCCTGTTTGGCGTATTTAATTCAGCAATGAACTTTGGATTAAAAGGGATAACTTGAAGCAGTTCAGCGAAATATCTTCATGTTTCAAATAGTTGAAGATGAATAGGTACTAGCTAAATACCGACTGATTACGAAATTTCAATTAGTTAAAATTAATCACAAATCGCTCTCCTCAAGTCGTAACTTATGTATCGAAACATGTAAATTTTAACAAATTATCAGTACACTTTCTGAAGACCTCCAGAAGCTGCCCTGGACTATGTCTAAATATTTCCAAATCCTCCTTACAAGTTTTTGGTCCTATTAGCCACATCTTCTGCCTTCCCAGCAAAGTTGCAGGCGAACGTGGGCCAATTAATCGGAATTAATGGATGTGGAGGAGTATCGGAATCCTCCATAATATTTTGAATTAGTAAATCCAGTAAATAAACCGAATTTTAGATACTTGCTTTGCACATTGCCATTTTCTGTAACTTTGGCCATAGCATTTGTAATTTAATTTCGTTGTAAATGCATGAGTGACATGAAACTTCTGACAGACTTTCTGCTACACTCTCTCCTGTTTTCTCTTTTTGTATCCCAATAATATTAAAAGCATTTCTGAGAGAAGCAACTTTTCACTTAACACCCATTCATATCAGCTCCACATCGTTTGCATATGCAGGGTGATTCAAAAGCGGCGTAATTCCTCAGGAGGTGTTGTCTGGGGGGCTTTGGGAGTACGGAAAAAATGGTAAACAAATTAATTTGTATTAAAAACTGAGATATTTGTAAAAAACTAGATCACACGGATAGCAACAATGTTTTTCAAGGGAATCTGCCTAATTATTATTCCGTAAACACCTGTTGTTCAAATTATAGGAACCATGGGTAACCACAGAAAATAAGGAAGTAACAAAAAACACCATTGCCGCTTTGATTTATCATAGAAAATGTGTAGAAGAGTACTTTTTTAATATAAAAATATTTCACAATTTGAAGCAAACATCGTAATTTTTCTTTTCGAACGGTTAAGTATTCCAATAGGCCACCAATAAAAGATGGGACCATTCAAAAATAATACTTATTAACAAAATTGAAATTCGATCTTAATCTGTTAAAATCTTCTAGAAGTTTCAGAACAAAAATATTTCTATATTTTTCTCGAACTGTCTAAGTGGGCCCTTATAGCTTCAAAAGGAATGGCGCCAATTTTGAAAAACCCTGTATATCTTTAATACAAACCATACACATAAAATATCCCCTTAAAAGACTTTACCATCAAGTCCTTTCAAATAACATGATTAGTTTTTTCCTATTAAGCAGACCGTATTTTTATAATAATTCTAATTTAACCAGTTTCTCATTATTATCTGCTTGAGCAATTTCAGAAATTTGGCAAATCATACATCTACTATAATTTTCCAGTAACATTCTAAAACTTTGCAAGTTAACATGGCTTGCTTTTGACATTTTAAAGCGAATGTTTTGCTATGAAGCATTTGATGGCTGTCGTAAAAATTGAGGAAGTTAAATCTAAACGAATTTGTCACGGCCTAGACACATTTTCGGATCTAATTTTTGTATATAGTTTTGTGGAATATGCAATTGAAACTTTAGTTATTACACGTTCGGGTAACGTTTTTACAAGTTATGTAAAATTTAAATCAAACTATAAAATGAAATTTCACTATTAATAAATCATATAATTAAAGCACTTAAAAAGCGAACAGAGCGTAACGTAACCACTTCACATTAAATCTTGCAACCTGTTAATGTATTTGAGAACAACTTACAACTGTTACAAATATGATCGAATTGGACCCATGGGATGTCCGATACATCAATATCCAAAGTGCCGACTGTCGGCCTTTTTTTTTAAGTAAACAAAAAACTTATGGAGTCGCTTTTTCCGGATTTTTACCGCTGTGGTTCGCATTTTCTAACGTGAAAAAAAACAGTGGATCACGTATCTGGCAGAAAATAAACGTTACCATTTATGTTAATATGCCTTAAAAAATACCTGAAGTCAAGAAACCCAGAATTTCTCTCAAAGTAAAAAACGACGCTTGTGAAAAGAACTGCAAAAAATAAACATACATAGGAGGAACCTGAGGCTTAGAAAGTTGGAAAATAATACAGCCTCAGAAACAACAAAAACAGAAATCAGATCAGGAGGTATGGTCTCAAAAGAATGGGAACAATATTTTCAATATCCATTCAACAAAAATAGACAGAAACTCAAAAATATAATCGAATCGAACAACGTAGACAATATTAACTTCACCGGTTTACCACTGAGAATAACAATAGGATTGGAAGGAACGTGTGCAAAGAAAAAGAAAAAAAGAAAAACGTGGAGTTGAAAAATGTCGTTGGGACTGGGAAATATTCCGGGCGAGCTCCTCAAATATGGCACAGAGATATTATACAGAAATCCGATAATACTGATCCAAAAATGTATAGACATAAGTCCAAAAGAATGGAACATGTGACAGGTTAGTCCAATATACAAAAAAGAAGATAAGGTTAGGTGCCAGAACTATCGAGGCATAGCGGCCAGAAGCCTATGTGCAGAATGTACAGGAAAATTGTAAAAAATAGAACAGAAAATTAATACAAGGAAATAGGAGCAGAAGAACAAGCTGGGTTTCGTTGATCAGTCGTGAACCATATATTCACTCTAGCGCAAGTTATAAAGAAAAAGATGGCACGCAACCAACAAATGCTTCTCTTATTTGTGAAGCTGTAAAAAGTTCAGGTTCAAATTGTTTCATTAAGCAAACTATGGGAAATATTAGAAAAAGCGAACATAAATGCAGGGCTAATTAAAGCCATCAAGAGTCTCGATAATAAATCTGTAATGAAGATAAAGACAAGAAAACAAATATCGCCCGGATTCATAGGATCAAAAGGATTGAAGCAGGAATGCTGTACCTCGCCGAGCTTATTCAAAATATACCTGAAGCGAATCTTGAATAACAGCGAACAAGCTCGATTCCGGGCGGGTAGATCAGTCATGGACCATATATTCACTCTAACGCAAGTTGTAGATAAAAAGATGGCACACAACCAACAAATCCATCTCTTTTTTGTGAACTCTCTGAAGTATTAGAGAAAACGAACATAAATATAGAGCTAATTAAAGTCATCATGATTCTCTATAAACAACCTGAAGTTTTCATGAAGATCAAATAAAGAAAACAAATAACACCCGACTTCATAGTGTCAGAAGGATTGAAAGAAAGATGCTGTTCCTTACCGACCCAAAATAGTCCTGGAGGGAATCTTGAAGAAATGGAAAAAGAAGTGCAATACTATAGGCATACCACTCTCAGACAATAGATTATCATTCGCCGATGATCCAGTGCTAATCGCGTAAGACCTTGAGGATTTGCGATATAGGTATTACACGAAAACTATTTGAGGCATATCAACATGGTGGTCTGCAAGTAAACACACAAAAGACAGCATACATGGTGATAAACGGAGAGTAAAAGGCTCTTGATCTGAAAGGCGGAGATTCTATCAAACAAACAAAAGAATATCGATACATGGGAGTTAAAATTACCGACGACGGACTTCTCGATACCGAAATCAAACACCGAATATGCCAAGGCAGAAAGGCGATCGCTCTTTCAATTGCACTACTTTGGGACGAACCTCACCAAAGCTCATTTATAATGAGATTGTTAAAAATGAGAATCACCTACTGATTTGAGGTGGGGCCATTGAAAGAAGTGATTAATAAACGCCTAAAAGCAATATAAGTAACTAATAACAACTACGACAGCTTTCCAAGCAAACATCCTAGCAATAACAAATTGCGCCCGGAAAATGAAGGAAAGAGCCTACACACGTAAGCACATTACCATCGTAACCGGAGATGAAGCCACAATAAAGGCATTAGAATCTTACACAATCAGGTCACAATGTGTGCTAGATTGTGTAAAAGAACTTACAACCCTGGCCGGGAGCTCAAACAGAATAAAACTCACTTGGGCAACTGGTACTAACAGGAGCAAAGAAAACGAGATTGCTGCGGAACTTGCTAAGGCAGGAACCGAGAAACCACTAACCAACCAAGAACCTGCTTGCGGTATATCTCATGCCCAAGTTAGGGTGGCAGTTGGGCAGTGGATCTTGGAACAACACAGAAAGTACTGGGAGGAGACACCGCGACTCCATACCGCAAAGCAGTTGGTGGGACCTCTACAACCAGTACGTAAAAACGAACTGCTAGGCTTCAGCAGGCAAAAAATAAGGAGGATAGTGGCCTTTTTAACAGGCCACGCCCCCTGCAAAAAACACCTCTTCAGGATGGGACTGAGTGATCAACCGACCTGCAGGGGTTGCGAATTAGAGGACGAAACTACTCTGCATGTTAT